ATTATATTTGTAACTGTTATCCAATTGTTCTTTGGTGAATTGACAATTGTTTAAACCTTGTACTAGGAGATCTAGGAGGGCCAGCAAGTCAATATACTGTTCTTTTTTGTAGCTAACCTACTTTAAGTATGTATAGGGTGGTTCACCTTGGGGATGGGATGCAATATAGAAATGGAAAAATGTCCACATTGTCAAAGGAAGTCTGCATTTAAAGATTTTGCCAAGAGAGCCTTTGCATGGGTTAAAGTCAGGCTGTAACTGCGTTCAGTAGGTGTGGTGGCGATAGGAAAATCACAACTTAAAGGGGACCTATAATGAAAAATGCACTTTTTGATGTCTTTTATACATAAATGTGTCCCCGGTGTGTCAGGGAACTCACGCAGCGTCAGCAAATAAAATCCTCTCTCTTTTCCTCCGTACCCAAATCTCTAAAAACGGGGGTACAACGGAGCTGATCCAGATTTGCGTCCGATATGACGTAATATCGGAAATGTGGACCCACAGCACTATCAGAAAGTTGCTATCAGAAACAATGCCCGACTGTTTTGGATGTAATATGGTCGGTGTTTACATTAGCATCGCTAACACTCAGAGCTAACCTGTACTGGAGAGCATGTGTGTGAAGAAGCTGGATATAAAAAAAAGGAACTCACCTTGTGGTATAACCGGCTAGAGAGAAAGCCTTTGAGCTCCATACTGTTTCCGAAATAATCAATGATATGGCGTTTCATCACGGCAGTATTTAGTTTAGACAGTAGCTGCCGGGTCCTGCATGAGCTCAGCCCCCTCCTTTTTTATTTTTTATCAATCTTTTATTTTTTTAAAGCTTTATACCCAAAATCAGCACTTTTGAAACAGGAAGTGAAATAGAGGGATATGAGGCATGGCTAGAATGGGTGATCTGTTTGGTATTTTGAGCAAAACACTTCATAGACATGTTATGCTATTGCCTAAAAATAGCATGATAGGTGCACTTTAAGACACTCGTGAAGTTAATTTTCTCACAGATTCGGTCAAATTGCCTGCACCAAAAAACCCATCCCAGAACCCATCCCAACTGCAGTGATGAGATCAAGGAAGATTTATGAAAACAGATCTGGAGGCCCAACATAGGCACAAGGGAACCAACGCCCCATGATACTGTATCTTCCCTACTCCATTCACTAAGTCTATCAATATGAGAATATTAACCAAACAACCTACCTTGACAGCCCATTCGAATCTTTGCTCACCTGTGTCATCTTGCTGAAGTCAAGGCCTGGCCTGGGGCAGGGCAGAACATCTGGGTCATGGCGCCTCTTCAAGCGAGGTTTCCGCATGTCGCAGGGCTGTGAGTGGCATCGTGGCAGAGCTGGGTGTAGGTCGCGCCTAGAGGAGGAGGGTGTGCTGCAGGCTGAAGTGGGAGATGGAGAGAGGGCTGGGTGTTCTATGCCAGAACAGCCATATGTCAGAGCAGAAGCAGGAAAGGGCTGGGGGGGCAGGAGCACCACCGAGGCATCCTGAATGTGCACAGGGGAGAGAGAGAAGCGGCGCTGCAGCACTGAGTGAGAAACCAGAGGGGCCGGTGAGGAGGAGCAGGAGGAAGGAGTAACAAAGGAGGCAGAACAGGCTCCTTTCAGTTTGTCACAGGGGTCCCATGAGAAGCTCCATGGTAGTGGGGAGTCAGAGGACAGTGATAAGCTAAAGAAGGTAGGGCTAGAAGATGAGTGTAGGGAGGAAGAGGGGAAAGAAGGACTGGGACCACAAAGTGGCAAAGAGCTGGCTCCAGAGCTTGAACTATATGCTCTTCCGCATTGGCAGCCACGATTGACTGGGGTCCAAACCTTGGATGCTCTAGGATGCCAGGTGGAACGACACCGCGACAGGTCCTCTGGAACAGAGAGGGACCGGCAGTGGCGTTTTGGAGGTGGTGGTGGGGGTGGTGGGGAGCTTTGGAAAGCTTTGTCTGTAAAAGAAACCTCTGGTCTCTGGAGAAGTTCTCCGGAGTCTAGTCCACAGGAATCATCCAGAGAGTTGGCTTTGGAGGATAGTTGTGTAGCAGAGCCGATTTCTGAAAATGTCAAAATATAGCCATGAGACAATTTTCCTCATCAAAAAGATCATAATATTGCACTTAATTCAATGAACTTGCCATGGGAGGATCTACAAGCACTCCAGGAGACAGTGGGACTGGAGCCCACTGCAGGTAGTGACTGAAACAGAAATATAACTTAAATACTAAAACCAAAACTTAAAAGTGCATTAATGAAAAAAGGTACTTTTTGTATCAAACTTACCACATTCACATTGAACGAGAAAGCCTTGTAATAAGGCTCTTCCAAACTCTGCTTACGGAGCTGCTCTGTGATAAGCGTCACCATATTTGTAGCTACAATCCAGGGATAGACATGGAGATTATAAGGAGATTTACTGAGGGCAGTGGAAATCGAATGCGTCAGGATGCTGGCGTGGTTTGTGGTGTCCCCTCCACACCTCAACCAGCCAGACTGACCAGCTTTCTCACTGTCCCACCGTCATTTTAATGCCACCTAGAGGGACAAATGAGAAGGGATCCTTATAAAATAATGTCAATGATTAACTGAAACTGGTCAAACACATTGCAAAGACAGCACTTTGTTGAACAGTAGCATATAAATTGCAAGACAGATTTATCATGCCTCAGAAGAGTGCAAAATCTGCTAATGTGGACTTTCCCCCAACATGTTATAACTGTGCTAGTACAGAATATCCCAGATGTAGAAAACCAGAACACCTAAAACAATGTGTTCAAAGTAATGACCAGATATTTCTTTACAAGATCCAGCCTAGGATATACATGCTGCCTAAATCACACATGAGTCAGAAGTTTATATTCAAAGGCAGAGAGCACTCGTGGACATGAGGAGACCCAGGACAAAGAAACACTTCACATTCCCTTATGTAGAGTGAATATGGTTGGCTATGATAGGGACTACAGACATAGACTAGGATGCCCAAAGTTAAAACCAGTGGGGAAATACAATGGCATTCAAAGTCAGTTGGGTTTAATAAAACACAAATAACAATTATTGTTTAGTAAGAGGAAAGGGGGATGGAAAGAGGAGAAATACAGGGATGGGATGGGTGAAGTGTGTGAAAAATGGGGTTTGGGAGAATGCCATAGTATCTTTGCAGGGGGGAAAAAAGAACAGTGACCAGGTCTCAAGGGCTTATATTACCAAGGCAAAGCCAAAACAGTGTGATGTACCAAGGAGGTAAAGGGCAACAAGACAGCCTGTGTGTCCATTTCAAATCACAGTCTTTTGACATTTACTTTTACTTTCCCATGCAAATAGCACATAGGTAGCCTTTAGGCTCTAATGGTTACTCAATCTACAAACATCACTGAAGATTAACCTACACTGTCCCTTTCCAGCAGATCTGCGCCAGGCACAAAAATGTACATATCAAACTGAAACTAAAAGAGAAAGCAAAAATCTAAACTGTTATGCGCTGTATTAAAATGTAACATGGCCTTTAGGCCTTTGCACTGCTCTTTGAAAGTTCAAAGCACCCATAATGTTGACCAAAGCTAATACTGACATCCAAACCCGACACGATAGAACATGATGAAACATAATATTTAACAGTATCAACTTTAAAAAGATGAGTTGTTAATCTGAAATAAAACGTCAAACTCATTGAAGAGACTTAGTGCAACACTTGCTGTTGGCAGTTAGATGTGGCCTCCAGGGCCTTTCTCCTTGTGGCAAACATAGTGCTACTATGCTAACCTAGTTCCACATGCCAGAAGACATGCTACTTCGCCTGCACAGGACACACAGGCTAAACATCATCATGTAGCAGCTACTACTGTTAAAAAGCACCCTACACACTAATTTTGCTCATAAACGGATAAGTCCATTGCTGTCAATCACCCGCTGATTTAAATATTTAACATAACTTCACAATATTGTCAACACACTTACCGTTGCTCATAAATAATGATATATTATATTCAAAAGACGACGACTAGTTAGACACACCTATCACAAAACACTATTAATAAGACTCTAGGCAAGGTTAATTTAGGGGTCTGGGCCTATAGACACGTTCTGTCTTTACTCATTTGCAAACGAACACATACGTTTAAGACAGTGTTGCGCAGCTTGCCTGTCTACAAATCACAACGATTATGTTAGCCAATTAAAAGCCTATCACTTTGTTCACAACATTAGCTGTAGGACAACTGTTTGTCATTGACAATGTAGGACTTGGATATATTTACTGGCTAAATCTGATAACGACTTATGCTGGTGAGCAGATAGTAAGCTAGCTCAGCTACACGATGCAGCCCGTGCAACACTATAAGTGTTAGCTGTTAGCTAGCTGATAACAAACGTTACTAGTGTTAGTGCATTCGGTCTGCGACAAGCTCATCGCTTGTCATTATACACGAATCTAGCGATGATTCGTTTGAATATACCATAAAAAGGGGCGATTATACATCAAGCGGTTGTGTCGATGGTGTACAAGTAAATAAGTTGTAGCATTAGCTTGGTTACGCAGTCTGTTTGCAGCTAGCATGCTACAGCTGTCCTGATGTATTACCTGCGTTCAGTGGTTCCTTAGCAACCGAAGCTGCACACAGTGCACCGGATAGAGAGACGTTTAGCAGAGTATTTATAGCGGCTGGACCGTACCAATGCAGAGGTATTTTTAATACACTGATTTGAAAGACATCCTTCTAGGAAACTCAGCAATTGTCATATAACGCTTACTTTTTCAAAATGACAGTTTTTTCACGTGTTCAAAACCATAACTACATTTTTAGCAACACATATTGCATTTAATGTGTGAGTCCTTTTCCGGTTGAGAGACCCACACAGTTGGGCCCCTCTAAATAAAGCGACAGCTTAAAAAACTGACCAAACAATGTTTTAGCGAGAAAATAAATGTATTTTTGTTTCTGATAAATATATATTTATACAAAACCAACATATTTAATAAAGCCCACACATAATTTCGACACATACACGTTGGAATGCTTAGTGTGGTAAATACAATTCTACTATGGACGCATGCGTGGTAAGGACTTCCTTAAAAAAATCCATAACTAAGACACTACTCTTGTTAACGGCTATTGCAAAGCTGTATGTTCATTGCCTTATGAGTCTTTGATTCACAGAGTGAACCTACAGAGAATATGGCACTAGGAAAACTCAGGAAAGAGGAAACTCTCGTTCTGCGGAAGAAGTTAATCGGGTAGGTCAAAGCCAAACTGTTGTTCTTGCTGGCTGACATCCTGGTCAGAGTGTGCTGCTACGCAGTGCGTGCAAGAAAGTTACTGACACGTCCTTTTTTCTTCGATTACAGGCAGTCATGTAGACTATTCTATTCAGAAGACCCTGTGAAAATAGTAAAAGCAAGAGGTCAATTTCTATTCGATGAAAATGGCAAGCGCTATCTGGACTGCATCAGCAACGTTCAACATGGTAAAACGTTTATTATTCAAGGCATAGTCCATTTATTGCCTTCACAAAACACAGCACACTACACTCTTGTGTGTCTACTTAAAGCATTAGTCAAATACACTGTGTCCTTTTGTATTGTAGCTTATCCCTTCAACATTGGGTGGACATATTACTTTCAACTTAAGTTTTTAGTTTCCTTCTTTTACCAAATGTGCTTTACTTTTATGTTTTGTTGTAAGTAAGAACTATGTGTTGTGCTTTTACTACTTAGCACAATAATTCCCTCTGGATTAATAAAGTTTTTTTTTTTAATATCCTTTTGTCTTATTTTAGTGGGCCATTGTCACCCAAGCATTACAAAAGCTGCGTCAGCACAAATGGACCTCCTGAACACAAATGCTCGATTCCTGCACGACAACATAGTGATGTATGCCGACCGCCTGGCTGCCACCCTGCCTGAGAAACTGTGTGTGTTCTACTTTGTTAACTCCGGGTAAGTAATAACCTCCAACTCGGACAAATTGGTATTTCTTAAGTAACATATCAGTTATATAACGTCTGTTCTACTGACAGTTCAGAGGCCAATGATCTTGCCCTACGCTTAGCACATCAGTACACCCAACATGAGGATGTAATTGTGCTTGACCAGTAAGTTTATTAAGTTCTATCCCACATTCACCCTCTGACTGAACACTTGTTTACCAATGACAAATGAACTCTCCTTTTATACTAGTGCATACCATGGGCATCTAATGTCCCTCATCGACATTAGTCCTTACAAGTTCCGGAAACTGGCAGGACAAAAAGAATGGGTTCATGTGGTGTGTACATTTATATGACCATCATTACAAAAAACTGCTGACCAACAGTGGATAGCTTAAACAATGTGTTTAATCCTCCTAGGCACCCTTACCAGACACCTACAGAGGCCTTTACAGAGAGGATCACCCCAACCCCGGCCAAGCATACGCTGATACAGTAAAAGACCTAATAGAGGAGGTGCACAGGGATGGCCGTAAGGTACATTTTAACACATTTTCGTGCAGCCTTAATAACACTTTTGTTATGCAGATAATCATGACCTATGCATGACATTTATATACATGTTCCCAATAGATCTCGGCCTTCTTTGCTGAGTCATTGCCAAGTGTTGGAGGACAAATAATCTTACCCCAAGGATACTCCACTAAAGTTGCAGAGTGAGTGGTGTTCACTCTTTTTTTATTTTCAGTTTTTCTCAGCCACATGTACGATAGAAGTGACACAGTGGATTTCCTACAGATATGTGCGATCAGCTGGTGGAGTGTTTGTGGCAGACGAGGTGCAGACAGGCTTTGGACGTGTGGGAAGTCACTTCTGGGCTTTCCAGCTGCAGGGGCAGGGTTTTTGTCCCGACATAGTGACCATGGGTAAACCAATGGGCAATGGGCATCCCCTGGCATGTGTGGCAACCACTGTAGAGATAGCTGGAGCTTTCACAGCCAACGGAGTGGAGTACTTCAATACGGTGAATATGCACTTAGTCAACACAATAATATACGAATACATTTATCTTAAAGTTTTATTTAGTTTTTTTCCAACTGTATGCTGCCAGGATGCATTTTAATAACTAAAATTATATATAAATATCAAGACATTTTTATTATAATGTTATAAGTCTCTTAACTCTTGGCAGCTATGTTCATCACTGACTACTGCTTGAGGACTGTTGTTTACAAGTGGTTTTTTATACCATTTTTTATTTACCACTATGCTGCTGCACAGAACAGACAATATAAACAAAATTCCTCAATCTGTTTTTAAACAAAATAAAAATAGTACTTTAGAAATCGGTTTGAGCTTCCTTTTGTTTAGCATGCATATATCAAGATTCAAATATTTGTTTTGGTTCTAACTTCATGCAGTTCGGAGGGAATCCAGTGTCCTGTGCAATTGGCCTGGCAGTACTTGATGTGATAGAGGAAGAGGACCTAAAAGGAAATGCCACCAGGGTGGGAGCACATCTCAAAGATTTGCTTATAAAGCTACAACCACGACATCAAATAATTGGAGATGTCAGGTAAGGATCTCATGTTCTTCAAACTACAAACAAAACATCAATTCATATAATTAATTATTTCTCCAGCCTATATGGTCAATTGTGGGAATCTGGATTCCTTTCATTAAAATTCAAGGAACAATTGAAGGCTGTGAAAAATGACAGCTGTAACTTAATCTGAACATATATCTGTTGAAAGCTTTGAGCTTCCTTGTAAAAAATGATATTTAATGTATCTCTCGTTTATATAAGGTTATTGCACAGGGACCTAAATGGGACATCACATGGTTTAATGATGAGACGGGTCACAAATGACGACAATCATGGGTTCCTAAGTGTCAACCCCCCACCTGTCAAATCAATAAAAATAAATATGTATTTGTATTTATTTTAACAGAGGTGTGGGGCTGTTTGTGGGTCTCGAGCTGGTTACAGACAGAGAGCAGAGGACTCCTGCCACAGAAACAGCAGCGTTGGTGGTGAAGAGGTACAACACTTGAGTGCAATAAAGCAATCAATGTTTATAATGTTAAACAACTTGTTCTTCCTTCTATACAGTCTGGGCTGAGCATTCATTAATGATGTCCCTTTTCTATTAGGTTAAAAGAGGAGGATAACATCTGTGTCAGTACTGATGGTCCCTGGGAAAGTGTCATCAAGTTTAAACCACCAATGTGTTTCAGTATGGATGATGCAGAACTGACAGTAAAATGTATTGACCGCATCCTCACAGGTTGGTTACACTATCACATTTTGTCTACACTCGTTACTAAAGGATTTTTTGCCTATATTTATGTTGTTACTAATTTTAAAGAACAAACATTTATTTAAATGTTGTATAACCTCTTCAATTTGTATTGTTCTCAGACATGGAAGCCAGTGACATTTAAACTGGAAAAGGAAGACATCTATAGTTTGTTAAACCTGTAGAAAAACTTTTAATTGCATCAGACATTGTCAGATGGTCACATTCATAACATTCAGAGGTAGAGATGTGAATGTCTATACTTCCAGTAGAACAAGTTCATTCATTTCACTTAGAACATGTTGCCGTTTTCCCTTTTAACACTGAAAAATGTTTACATTTAAGTGTCAAAGCTTAGCAATATGACAAATCAAAGTGGGACAGTCATTTAAATGTCATCTAGAGCCAGGAAAGTGTATTATAGTTAATATTTGTTTCCCTTTTTCTCCCCCCAGATGTTCAGTGCCTTTTTAAGGCATAGGCATCACTTCAGTCAACTGAGATGAAACCTACCACATTTAAAAAAGGGATGCCAGCTGAACTGTTACCCCTTCTGGCGAAAATTAAGAAACTAATAAAAGGTTTTTCCCCCCAATCCTGACAAATTTTTGTTCCATCAACAATTGCGATATTTCAAATATAATCAGTCCCAGTTAGCAATACTGATCAGCAACATGTTCTCAATACACATATGGTTGAGATAAGCACTTACCAGATCACTATCATTAACTCCTGTTCACATTTATAAAATGCTTCAGTACTGCAGTTTTTACATAAAGTGGAGTGGGAATTAACCAGCCAGTTTGCTGCAGGTAGTGAAGCTCTCTCCCACATCTTTCCAAAGAGGCATCCGTAGAGATGTTAACATTACCCAAGACAAAACAAGCAAGCCATTTAACAGTACAAAAACATTTAACATTAACTTTACAAATAATAACAAAAGGATCCATGTGTAATATAAACCAAAAGTTTATTTCTACCAATTTGCCCAAGACACTAGAGGAATGAGTATCCAGTGAGAGAGGGAGTACCCTCTTACATTAACAGGCTTGCGTTCAGTTGAATAACACTAGTAAAGCCACTTAAAATTGCAGACATGATGGGGGAAGAATCTCCATAAAAGCCGAAAAAAAAAAAAAAAAAAAAAGATGCTGGTTGTCTTCGTCTACTAGACCATCTGAAAACATTCACTTGACACTCTTACAATGAACCCTTTGATTAGTTTAAATCCCTTATTTTTGCCTCATCCCACATCTGAAGCCATGCAACTTGCATCCAACATTCAGCATGGGAAGAAATAACTAAAGATCTAGAAACACCAAAAGAAAAAAAAAGAAAGAAAAACAATTTTGTTTTATTTGTGAGCTTTAAAAGCTCTTGCTCCTGCTCATCTGCAAATCCAGTAGACATGTAAAAATACAACCATACAATACATTAGATTCAAAAAGGTACCAAAAAGTACAGTAAAAATAACACTTCCATCACTGGAAATGTAAATGGACACAAAACAATATAAAATAAAAAGTGGAAAAGTGACATTTGCTTCCCCAGTTCCTCACTTGATCTGTACAAATGGAGCATGAGTCCAAATTTCTGCCAACTCCAAAGGAAAAGCCAGAGCCCATGTTGGTTGTGGTCAGACCATGGATCTCTTTCTTATTTACTTTAGACCTTAAGAGAAAAACACGGTGCTTAACGTTACTGAGAATAAACCAAATATGGCATGCAGTTACACAAAGACAGACAAGTGCATGAATGAGTTTTGACAGGTCAGTGAATGGACAGACACACTTTGGGGGGGAGGGGGCACGACCGCTAGCTATTACACCTAGCACCCTGGTGAAAGGTGACGGTCCTTATTCCTGTTCTCAACCACCACCAACTCAACCCTTATTGATCAAGTAGTAGAGATGCATCTTAAGATGGCTGACAGGTGGAATGAATCCATCTTTAATGGTAACAGACCCCACAACACAGTCTACCCTAACCCCACCACAATGCTTGAATGGATTTAGAGTAGATGGAGATCTTTGGGGTCAAAAAGGCACCAATGGTTACAGCTATGTTCTCATACTACCACGGATGATGCAAAAATGCATACCTGCACTACGTGTGATCAGTATGGCTTGTAGCTACTCTGGTGGCCTCCACGTCTTGGAGTTTTCCCATAGCTTGTATTGCCCTGGTCTGGAGGACAAGAGAAAAAGGGACTGAGTTCTTCTGTACAACAAGGAGGACCAAGAAAATAAAGTTTCTCTCATTCTTTTTTCGTTCCCGGGGGGCACTTATCGCTTACTGTAATCGTAGCCACCCCCATAGCCGTAATAACCAGTAGAGTAGTCATAGTTGCCGTAGCCGCCATATCCGCCGTAGCCTTGCTGTCCATATCCGCCGTAGTTCTGGTTGTATCCCTGGTTCCAGTAGTTGTTGTAACCTTGATTCCAGTTCTGTCCCTGACCTAAAATACACAGGTGAGGGCTTTGTCACAACTCTACATACATGACCCAACAAGTTACTTTGCATTTAAAGTATACAAATAGGGTTCTTACCTCCACGGCCCCTGCCGCCGCGTCCTCCTCCTCCTCCTCCTCCTCCACCACCACCGTATGCACGAGCACCATACTGCTGCTGCTGGTAGACTTCTTTGGGCTGGGCTATTTTAATTTCACACTGGAACACCACACAAGAGCACATTACATTGCAGTGTGATTTTGCCTTTGATTTTTATACCCCGAAACACCAGACCCAATTTCACATGTGTGCAGAATGTGTGGTATGCCATTACCTTGCTTCCACCAACATTGTGGTATTTCTTCTCCATAACCTTCTTGACGGGAATCTCATCTTTATATGTGATGAATACGAATCCCCTCCTCTTTTCTGTCTTTGGATCTTGTGGAAGCTCAATGGTTTCAACCTACACAACAGGAAAACGGACTTTGAAGCAGCCAATATCTTAAGCATTCGACTTCCTAATACATTGAAATTCCTTTGAATACCGTACCTCTCCGAAGGTCCCAAAGTACTCCTGAATGACTTCCTTAGCCGTGTCAGGGTTAAGGCCTCCAACAAATATTTTCTTGACTGGATCCTTCTTCATGGCCATGGCCTTCTTGGGGTCGATCACTCGGCCATCTAGCCTGTGCTCCTTCTGTTCAAGAACCTAAAAAACCCAACTAAATGTGAAAAAAGTGTCTCTTTTGTAACCATAAAGTCACTTTCTGGTGTATTGCTTTCTCACTCACCTTTTCTACACTGGCTGCCTCTTTAAAGAGAATGAAGCCGAATCCTCTTGACCGGCCTGTCTGCTGGTCCATCTTTATGGTGCAGTCTGTCACCTCACCAAATTTAGTGAAGTAATCTTTAAGATCCTTCTTGCTCGTTTCCCAGCTGAGACCTCCAACAAACATTTTCCTGAACACAGAGGGGGCAGAAAGGGACATGTTAAGCATTACAGGCAGCCATGTTACTGCAACTTTATATATGGCAGAGGGGGTGGTGTTGGGCACAAGGGGGGTATATAAATGTACACACTGTTCCAGAACATCTGTTGACCCAATGACATGGGAAAGAAGGCTACAGCTGCTGTAGCTCAAAGTCAATTTACATCATTAATTCAATTTAGTGAAAATCGTTCGGAAAAAACAAAATCAGATGCCACATATCAATAACTTCTTTAGAGCCAATGCATGCTAGATTTGATCCCTGCTGGAGCGCCCATCCCCCCCTCCGCTCTGCATATGGCGCCAACAAAGGCCGGTTGAACAAAGAAACATGACTAAACCATGAAAGCTTATTATAAATGTCGGTTTCACAAAATATTCACGGCATACTGTTTTTCAACTCACCCTGCATCCTCCTCGCCTTTGCTGGCGTCGATCTGGCCGCCCTCTGTGCCACCGTTTTGTGAATTCCCGTCGGCGTCGGGCCCTGCGCCCTCTGCCTCCTCTCCGCAGTCATTCACGGCGCTCTCTTCGTTACCTTCCTCGGTGTTTTCCGCTCCGTTAAAATCATCTTCGACTTCGTGTCCGTTTTCCGATGTTTCCATATACTGCTGCTCTATCTCAGACATTTTGCAATATAATACCTAAAGCCAAAAAAAATGCATCAAGTTACACTAAATCACGGTGATTATATAATCCCAAATGCCGTACATGCCTCGCCATTTACATGGTGCCAATGCATGCATTTCCCACCATTTTGGCCGGCACGATCGCGTTTCATACATTCATGAAGACTCGAAATTGTTGCAGAGCGCCAGAAAATGGCAACATAGTAACGATTACTTGCACAACAAAGTAATCTCACAGCATGGACACTAATAAAACTAAAGATTAGAAATAGTGTAACCATCTGCTTCGTGCTGATAAAGCAAGCCTGGACTGTACAACTCAAATTCGCAGTTACGTAACGCAAAGGCCGTGCTAGTCGCATAAGAGGCCTCCATTTCCCATTAATTACAGATATTTAAACTACATCCACCAGAATAACAATCATAAGACTAAAACAATCATATTACTTACGTGGCAATATAATAAAAAGAACAACGCTAAATAAGTAGGAAAAGCAGCTTACTGGTAACACAACCGGAGAGCTCTCTTCAAGATGGATTCTCCCACACGACGACAACTCGTGGTTGGTTTTCTAGAACCGGCAGAAAAAAACGCAATTTCTGCGGAGAAGCCATCTGATTGGATGAACCCCGCTGTCATTCAAGGCGCGTACCAATAACATACACGTCCTTTTCTTTTCATAGAAGATGTCCACGCCTTTAACACTCAGGAAGAAACTCTGAGTACATTTTCTGCGTCTGATAAAAAGGGAGTTATCGACTTCTCGGCATTTCAAACAATATGAATCGCTGAAACTACTGTTGTATTGAATAAAGTTTCAAAGCGGTATATTCTTAAAATTGTATTGACTTGCACTACTTATCATTCAGAATCCGGAAAATTGTAGTCAAATGCAACAGTAGATAGATCCAGGGTCGTGGAAATGAATGGGCGGTGTGAGGAAGAAAATATCCAAAACGTAGCTTAGATGTTGTAGAAATAAACATTAATTTAAGATAAAGAACACTAATGAAATACTATAAACGCAATAATGCTGTCATCATACCTTTTATTGTGAACATGGACACATATAGGCCAAAGGTGACTTCTTACAGTAACTCCTGTACAAGTTGTGAAACATGGCATGGGTTGGGCAAAATAACGAAAAAAAAGACATTACCAAGTTCAGGTTAGCAGTAAACACGAATTTGCTAAGTTTATTCTTTAAGTGGCATGTCTTGTCTTCTAATGGAAAATGTACTTTATATATCCTCCACCCATTTATTTTTCTCTTTGTCAGAGACCAAACCTATCAAACAATCAGCAGCCCTGTGAACTATAGAACAGCATACATAGGCAGCCGCCCTCATGGTTATCTAATGCAGACCTTATTACCTGGTCAAATCGCATTTACAGACTGATGTATCAAGCCATGTCCCAATTATAAATGTAGCTGTTTTCAATATATATTCTTTGATTGCTGAATAACTAAAATAAGAAAAATTAAAGAATTTCCATAATAAATCTGTTGGCTAACCATCACACATACTATAATGCTGATTATAAAACTAAAGTCATCTACTTTGTTCATACAGTAACACATTTGTTCGACCACCTTATGCTTTTATATGTTCTTTATAAGCAGTAGTACTATTTCAATATTACCATTTGTGTTTGTGAGAAAGTTCCAGAAGATCAGCATGAGATGAAGCTGATGGTTAACGCAGGTAGACAAGAACATGGTATTGTATATGTTGAACGTACGTTTCTACTTGATTAATGTTATCATCTTATCACAGGTCACAAATTCAGTGCCATCATTAACACCAAATCAAATACAACATTTGTATCTCCCTGGCAAAAATGTGGGTGCTTTGTTAAAAAATACACAAAGCGGAGATATTTGATTTATTGAATTATGAGGACCAGTTGTTAGTGTTTCTGTCTCATCCTGCTGACTTCAGGTTTCGAATAAAGTCACATGCTTTAAAAAAAAAAAGGGTTAAAGGAAAAAACGACTTTACAGAAGGACAAATAAGAAATGATCAGTGCGGATAATACATTTTATTTCCCCGTACTGAACAGATTAGTGTGTTTAAAAATTAACTGTTGGAAATTATGTATGTGCCCCTCTTTCACTCTCATACGGCTTCTTCCACAATAGCTCCATCACATATTTGAGGCTTGTTTGGGTTGTTGTTTATCAGCCAGTCAGCAAGCCAAATCTGTTGAAGACGGAGGATAATGGAGTAAGATGTTTCAGGGCGTTAAACAGCAGCAGACAACACAGTAAAAGCAATAAATAAGTGACTAATTATTGACTGTATGTCGCCACTGAGCATAGAATACTTACACATGGGCTGTGTGGCTTCTGCTTGCAGAGCTCAGTGAGTCCACGTAGCAGAGTTGGGTTTACATGCCTGCTCAGGTATTCTTCTGTGGCTTGTTTTGAAGAAAAAGGCTCGATTACAGCTGAAGAGAGAGAACATGAGGGGTATACAATTGTAAGTGTTCAATACTACATTTGTACATCCAAGGCACATTCTCTGGTTGTGTGTTACTTACAATTTTGGAACATGAATTTGATCTCTCTTTCAGCTGCATGAAATGACCCGCTGCCATGGAGAGCATTTTTAAGGTCAGAAGTGCCATATATTGCTCGGAGGCTGGGGGGAGAATACATCAAATTAATATGAAGATCTCTTTTGGTAAAGATCACAATCCTGGTAAGTGTGTCCATCCCACTTTTCAGTCAGCCTTTAAGGCTGTGATTCGTCACCATTGTAAAACATGATATAAATAATGTGAAAAAAATCGAAGGAATATACAACAAAACACAAGACAGAATCAAAAGCAATTTCAGAGACTGACCACCCTGGATGAGTTTCTCTGGCCTTGGTGCTGTTGACAGGCCCTAAGATGGACCTCCAGTGGGCGATGGCATTGTGCCGGGCGAGAGTCATGGCAATGATCGGACCAGAGCTCATGAAGGCAGTCAAGCTGGGAAAGAAGAGCTTTCCATATTGGTCTGCGTAGAAGTCACTGCATTGCTCTGGACTTAGCTGCATCTTCCTCTTCTGCAATATAATTTAAATGTTGGAAACTTCAATGAAATGTGAAATGATTTTGGATTTTTGAGTACAGCATTTATCCTAATAAGGGTCGACAGTCTAATAATTCACTGTTCTATATTGCTTTTTAATATTCAAATATACATTCAAAACAGTGGTGAAAGAGTCTACTTAGTTCCACTTAAGTAAAAGTACAAATACCATGGTTTAAAAACACTGGGAAGTAAATGTCCTGAGTGTTAAACATTGTTAAATAAGTAAAAGATCATAATAATCAGAAATGTGTTATTTATTTATCCAAAGTACTCATTATGTAGGATGACTCCTAAGTGTTTGTGTGGTGGATATATTTAAGATCATTTTAGTGTTTTGGTACATCAATGTGAAGCTAATTTCGGATACTTTGCAAACAACTGGGTGTAGTTGCTTATACTGTATCATATATTGTTTTGTTGTGTTAAACTGTAACTATGCTAAAATAATTAAGTGGTGTAAAAAATAACATTCTTACTGGGATGTAGTAGAGTAAAAAGTAGCATAAAATGGAGCTAATTAAGTTAAGTACAAGTGTCAAACGTACAGTTCACCCCGTTAACAAATTGTGACCATGAACTATACAGAGCAGGACACTGTTGGAGCTCTCTGGTGGACAAAATATATATTGATCTGGTGTCCTAAAATATCGTTTGCATTCTTTTCTGTAATTTCATTTCACATACTGTATCTGATAACAAAAAGTCTAGGCAAATAATATAATATGTTTTGTACATAGTTTACATACGTTCGTATTAGAACTAGTAAGTATACCAATGCATTTTCCGAGACATTACCAACCTGCAGGATAATGAAGCCAGATTTCAGGATAATGTCCTCAATCTCCTCACATTTGTGGACGGCATCTGGTTTTATAAGGGCCAGAGTTCTTTCCACGTAGACTCGAGGATCGTCCATCTTCCCCTGGACGCTACACAAACATCTGTAGCCTCTAGCTAATAAAGTTACGATATTTTACGTGAGGCCCTTCAACTAAACTCTTGAGTTACCGAGAATTTGCTTTATATTAGTAACATGAAGTATAATTTAACATTAGGTGTTGCTGTTTGACCAAAGTATTTTTATATTTTTAAAAAAGTCCAGAAGAACCAAAATCTCACTTGCCTTTCGTTCGTGGTGCATTTGGGTTGCTAGGATACTAACACTAACCTACGGCAAGCCGAGCGGTTTAATCAACTCATAATTGAGTCAATATGAATACGCCTTATGCATTCAAGAAGTAAATATGTGGTATGTAGTATTCATGTGGTAAACTATTTTGGTAGGATACATTCTTGTTTACAACCAAGGCCGGATTAGTACCTCCAGGGGCCCCTGGGCACTGAGCACTCATGGACCCCCCCCCCCCAACCCACGTACCAACAAGTAACACCACGCCTACCCAATCCTACCAACATGACCAATATTTAGAATTTTCAGTCAATCTGGCATGTCAAATCGCACACCTATTTGTCAAAACCAGGGACGCAGCCACATAGTTCAACCAAAGTAGGTCTAGCCTTTTGCCCTTTCAGTCAAGACAAAGATGCAATGGATAAGATCTCAAGACAGTGTGGCTCAAGAAGACCTAGGTAATATCACTCAAAACCTCAGAGCAGCACCCCACTGCCAAAATATGACTGGCTGGCTGTACAAGTACACAAGGATTTATATTAGTCACAAACATTGAGAGTTACAAAAGTAAAATATGTAGTGAAATTGTGTGGTTGCTCAAGGGTGGGGCTGCGATTCAGCTATACACCACCACCGCGTAGTAATAAAGTTGAGCGTATACATAGTGAGACCTACAGTACAGAGACGGTTTAGAAAATATATTAATTTGACCCTATAGAAAAGCTGTGTTATTTATGGTGAAGAGTGAGTGTCATTTAAAACAATGTACGAGTGAGGTTTTTTTTTTTTTTTTTTTTTTATCTCGTCACTGAGGGCCCTCTTTGCTCAAGGGCCCCTGGGCACTTGCCCATATGGTTAATCCGGCCTTGTTTACAACATGGCTTTACTTTTCCTTGATCAAACTTGACCGGCGTACCACAATAGGCCTACCATATTCACAAGAAAATGCCACATTTGCTACGAACGGTATACAAAGTATTGAAATCTAGTAGAGATTATTTGGGCAAGTATACACCAATACATCTTTGAATTTTAAGATCATTTGCGAAGTGCAAATCAGGAGTTTTGAAAAATAGATGCTGTTCATCTCTTATTTTTTTTTTATACACTGCATTTATGAAAGTCACAATTCATTAGTTCTAGTTTCTGACATTTCTTCATGCTACATCCATTATTTAAGTTCATGGGGCTGCGGTTTCCATAAATATAAAGTTTTACATCCTTAAACTAGAACTAATTTTCAGCACGTGATTGACCAATTTTAAAATGTCTAGAGCAGCCGAGATAACACTTCAGCTTGTGTATTTGTGTTTACAGGGTATATGCAGGAATCCTGAAGTCAAATGTAAAACCTTTTAAGACCCTTTCCATACATTTTAAGACCTCATCGCCACTTGGAGTTTTAACCGGTTACATTGGCGACACACTTTACTTTATACAGTATTGATTGTCCTTCCTCTTTATCTTCCAACCATTTGGACGCAGACTTGCATTTCCCCATAACGATGTTGTTTAACAACCGGTGTAAACGGACCTTGGCGCTATCAAGCAGTGAGCGTGCGATGTCCTGTTCAGATGACGTCAAATCCAACAGGATGCCATAAATAAACTACACAGAATCACACTACACACATACGCAATGACTACATTCAGGCAAACTGTAGAATACAACCTCTTTGGACAATTTATATACTTATTGAAAACAAGCTACAAAATGTAATACCTTGGAAAATGCTGTTTAATACTTTTCAATAGCCTTCATTTTCGCTAAATTGATTTATCAACTTTAAATACTTTTTAAGCCCCCGCAGACACCCTGGTTTAAGCATAAGTGTTCCGTTGGCAGTAAACATCTTATTTTATTAAGTATAATCATTTAAAGACAAGTTTTGAAACCAAGATGGCACACATTCTTTTCAAACAGTCTTTTATTCAAAGTGGCTTCGACAAAAAGTTCTTATCGAGTTCCAATTGTGACCTGCCACACTCTGATCAGGTTGTCGGTGTAACCAGCAAACAGGGTCTGTGAAGAAAAAGGGATAGCAAAACATTGAATAAAACCAATTGATTCTGAAATACTTTAGAAAACTTTTTTAAATAAAAAATAATGTGTTTTAAGTTCCCCTCATAATTGCAGGGATGTCTTCATGCGACATCAGAGTAAAAAGTGAATAGTTATAATCACCAGGGAGTAAACACGAAAACCTGCTATTAGTGAGAGCCACTAACAGACAAAGAGACACGAGTACCAGAAAGGTGCTACAGAGCGAGTGTTGTACCTGTCCATCAGCAGACCATGCCAGGCAAGTACACTGTGGGGGTTCAGCCTTGCTGTTGGTGCTGATCACTTCCTGTCTCAGCTCATCCACAATGATCTTGCCCTCCAGATCCTTGAAAAGAAAAACAGGAAGAGAAATGAGTAACAGCTCAGAAGTAACAACCAATAAATGAGAAGTTAATGCATCAAATTACACAATGCACACATTTGTCCAGAATAGAGCTCAGAAACAGCCTCTTTATCATCAAATAATACAGTTGGCATTGGAAGTTTCATCACCGCCTGTCACTTTTAATAAGGGACCATATACTGCTACTAAGGATGATATCTTTTACCCAGATCTTGATACTGGGGCCAGTGGCGGCACACAGCCAGTAACGGTTGGGGCTGAAGCAGAGGGCGTTGATGGTGTCTCCGCTGTCCAGGGTGTAGAGGTGCTTGCCCTCATTCAGGTCCCAGAGCATGGCCTGGCCGTCCTACAAGGAAAGATAATGGATACAACAACCATATTTATAAACATTGTAGATTACTAGGATATTTAAATACATAACAGCTTAAGTTTTGCATATTTATCTTTAGCATGAACACAATGATCTTTTTACCTGCAGGTAACACTCAGAAACAGCCTCTTTATCATCAATGTTAAACAGATACTTTTGATGTTTTCATCACTGCTGAAACCGGCAGGTACACTGAATGGTGCTTCAGTTGATTTTAAATTGCTCGAGATATGTGGGAACTCAATCTGGGGCAGTCTAGAATTGAAAAGTTGATTTCTTACCCTTCCACCGGATGCACACAGGGAGCCATCAGGAGACACAGTCACTGTGTTCAGGAAGCCAGTGTGGCCGATGTGGTTGGTCTTCAGCTTGCAGTTGGCCAGGTTCCATACCTAGGAGCAAAGGATAGAAAGACTACATCACAACAATGGCAGTATAAAGATCATCAAAATATTTTCGAGTTTGCTCAACCAAAGCATTAGTGAGGTGGTCAGGTAATTCATGACACCTTTTCCAAATCATTGAGCAAACAAACTACTTTAGGTTTGTTGTTTTTAACCACAGTTGCAAGATAACTTAAGGCAAGTACTTGGCGGCAATGGCTGTTTATCAACTACTTTCAGCGTTAGTGTTTTCTAGTTCCCCTCATATTTGCAGGGATGCAATCATTGGACATCAGAGTTAAATGTGAATGTTTATAATCACTGGGGATGAAACACTAACAAACAGTTATTCTGGAGTAGTTCATTGTAAGATCTTAGGTGCAAATTCTTCCAAAGTATCTGTCCACACAACCTAGCTTTGGTTTGAATGCAAGGGTAGTTTAAAAAAAAGAAACATACCTTGACCATCTTGTCCCAGCCGCAGGAGACAATGATGGGGTTGCTGCTGTTGGGGGAGAAGCGCACGCATGACACCCACTCAGAGTGGCCCTCATCCTGCAAATAGAAGAGGCGCATAATATAATGTCAGTCACACACCGGGCTCTTTCAGAAAGATAGTCAGAAAGAAAGATAGTTGAGAAAATTGTGACTGAGTGAGCAGCACTTTCCCATTAATTTGAGGAAACGAAAGTGCAGTTTGTCTTTTCACATATGTCCAGATCAGAGCTCAGAAACAGCCTCTTTATCATCAAAAAAATACAGATGGCATTGAAAGTTTCATCACCGCCCTTTGAACTGTCACTTTCAATGAAGGGACCATATACTGCTACTAAGGATGAAATATTTTACCCAAATCTTGACACTGGGGCCAATGTCGGCACACAGCCAGTAACAGTTGGGGCAGTTTGTCTTTTCAACTAGTAGGGGCTGCATCATTTCAACTTCTTATTCAAATTAGAAGTAGGCCCTTCATTTGTAGCCTAATCCACTGAAATCTAGTTTCACTGATAGAAAAAGACAGAGCGGAAAGTTTACCTGGATGGTGTACTTGCAGACTCCAAGAGTGTTCCACAGCTTGATGGTCTTGTCCCGGGAGCCAGACACAATCTGACGGTTATCCGCAGAAAAGGCCACGCTCAACACATCCTTGGTGTGTCCAACAAATTGGCGGGTGGTGTTGCCGCTGAGGAAACATCACAGCAAACATCTTAGAACTCAAAATGTTGCATATTTAAGAAATTCAGAGATTAGCATTAGCAAAAACAGATGCAAGAACTTGCGGCAATGGCTGTTTATCAAATACTTTCAGCGTTAGTGTTTTCTAGTTCCCCTCATATTTGCAGGGATGCAATCATTGGACATCAGAGTTAAATGTGAATGTTTATAATCACTGGGGATGAAACACCAACACACTGTTCTTATGGTCTAGTTCATTGTAAGATCTTAGGTGCAAATTCTTCTAAAGTATCTGTCCACACAACCTAGCTTTGGTTTGAATGCATTTGAATAGTAAAAGGAATGAATTGATGCGAAAAATAGTTCAAATTAACATGTTGACACAAAGCACTTGTCATTCCTTATGCCAAGCTTCGCCAACATAGGTCAGGAGTTTTAATACATCTACTTGTCACATGGTTTGATTACCATGGCTTTGAAAGGGGTAATTTAGAAACATAAAAAACTAGCTCTGCTTCCTTAACGGTTATAAACAAAGAATTTATGCAGAAAGGAACCTGCTTTCCTGTTAAACTTTCACCTGGACACAGAAAGAAACCATCCACAGTAAGCAGTTTAACACTATCAACCCCCCCCCCCCCAAAAAATAACACGTTTCAGTCCCTGCACTCACTTGGTCAGATCCCACAGGCGGAGGCTGCCATCCCAGGCACCGGACAGGGCAAACTGTCCATCTGAGGAGATGACCACATCACTTACAAAGTGAGAGTGGCCCAACAAGGAGCGCTGGGGGATGCCATAGTTGGTTTCATCACGGGTCAGCTTCCACATGATGATGGACTTGTCTGTAAAACAAACAAATGATATACTTTAACTCAGTTTTCATAGTGCAACAGCTGATATTGACATGACCATTAAGTGTTAGCATTGTGCAAATGACTTTACAATGCAAGCTGTCAAACATTTACTCAACAGTTTGCAGACTCTACGAAGGTTAGGAGCCGGTTTTGGAAGATTCACACATTTGAGCCTGTATCGACACTTGGTGTGTTATTACACGTGTCGCAGATGTAATGTAGGCTAGTTTACAGATGACGCTAGGTGGTGTTAGCTAGTTCGGCTAACCGGTGTATTTCTATGTAGAGACGATTTTGTTAAGGTAAAATAAAGCTCCCGAACATTGCGTGCATTAGTGGCTGTTCAAGTATTTTTCATGTGTCACTCACGGTTATTTTTTCCTTTTTCGTACGTTACAGCGGTAAGTCAACTTGCTGGCTAATGCTAACCTAGCCATGTTGGCAAAGCTGGCGGGGGAAGCCTCACCTCGGGACGCCGACAGAATCATGTCGGGATACTGGGGCGTCGTGGCAATCTGGGTGACCCATCCACTGTGCCCCTTAAGGGTACCCCTCACTGTCATCTGCTCGGTCATTTTGGCGAGTTTCGATGGTGCCTTTTACAAGGATGGAATCGGATTTCTCTGAGATCCAGAAAAACCTAGGTCCTCATCGCATCTGGGCACAGAGGAAAAGGAAGCTCAGACCCGGATCCAAAAACTATGAGGGGTGAGAATCGCGCAAAGGATTCTGGGATATGTGTACTTTATACTTTTTCCGGTCACAATGACTACAAAAAAAGTAGTGGAAAGCTCCCCCTATCTTGCGTTTTAACAACACGGGTTTCTTTTTTATTTATATTATCGATTACATACCCAAAATCACTTTACATACACACCATTCTTGTTATTAATGCATTGTTAGATACCAGCTTTATGTGGCAAAATATTAGGGAAATAATTCCTATTAAAATGCAAAAGCAATTTAATATCCTTTATATAGTTTGATATTCGTCTGCAATATAAATATATAACAATCCCATGAGGGTTAATGAATATACCTTTTCCATCAACTTAATAGTCATAAAACATTGCAGCACAATTTAAAACGTGCTATTATTTAAGATCAAATCAAAAACATGAAATTCAGAGATGCTGTAAACAATTTAAATGGAGGCCTTTGTTCCATTGTTCCCTTCCTCATCAACTGCAAACAATCCTCCTCACATGTTATTTAGTCTTAAGAAACAATGAGCTCATTCAAATGTTACAATGGAGGACAGATGACAATGATTTGTGTAACTGTATTTAGTTTGATACAATTTGTTGACAAAAGTGGACGCTTCATTGGCATAATGGGTAACACACCAATATCTGTCCTCCTTATGGTTTTAAGAAACACATTTAGAGAGAGGAAACTTTCCACTAGAGATATTATAAGTTACCGAATTGCTGTTTTAATTTGATGCTTCCACAGGGTGTCAGTGTTTAACAGCAACCTTAAAATTGGGATTGATCAACGCCTTTAGCAGAATGCATCCGATTAACTTCATGGCTACTTTTTCTGGATTATTCTGAATTTAGCATTTGTTATTTCTAAATTCAGTATTAATTTATACTGAACATTTTGATGTAAGATCTTATTATTTAGATATATTATCATAACATTTAGTACAGACAGATGTTCCCCCACAGGATAATATAAAACATTCAGTCAGTGATGCCTCACATTTCCAATATCGCTACCATGAGGTCAAAATTGTAATGCTTTTGGTTTGTAGCCAAATACTTGCAAAACATCTGATACATCAGCCTTACAATAGGTGTAATCTGTGTCTGTATACCGGGTTTGAACAAGTGTATATTTAAAAAGGTTGTTTAACTTTCAGAATTGTTGCTCTCTTTTCTCTGTCAATCATAGTCTGGCAAGAGTCTGAGGAAACCTGCTGTCCCTTAAATGATTCATGCAGTGGATTCATACAAGGATATAGCCTTTCATTATGGTGTGATGGATTATTATTGTAATTTGCATCCTTGTGTTGATATGTTTAAAGGTCCCCTATTATACTGTTTTTCATTACTTTATTATAGGTCTCAGATATATGCAAAACATGTCTCTGAAGTGTTTGGCTCGAAATACCAAACAGATCATGCATTGTAGCATCCCATAAACCCCTCTGTTTCAGCCCTGTTTCAAAAGTGTTGATTCTGTGTCTGTTACTTTAGATGAAAATAAGGTGCCACTCCCAACGCCCCTCTGAGAGATATCTGGTTAAAAAGAACACAATAGGCGCTTTCACACCGGTGTACTTTCCCCCGTACTTTTCCCTTTTAGGCCCCGCTCACACGGGACCGTTTGCGTTTATGCACAGTATGCATATTCAAAAAAGTCTTCCGTTCACATGCATTTGTTTCATTTAACGTGTCTGTTCAAACGAGGCCGCTGGAAACGCTGTAGTACATATGCCGGGACTGTAAGTGGCGCTGTAACTTCCGCCAAAATACACCAAAAGCCGCGAAGAAGAGCAGCCCGAGCAGCCCCGCTGCAATGTTGCCATGGCTACCCTTCTGTTTAAGCCCCGCGGTGTATTTAGCAACATGTAGTTCATGTAATTCTCCATGTCCACTTGTTGCTGATGGTTGTGGTAGAGGAGCTGTAGATTTTGCACTAATATCTGTAGCATGGTCAGTAGCAGTAGCACTAGCAGTAGCTACTGACAGGAGGAAGTGTGTGTGGCGATTGCTGGTATTCAGCGGGATATAGTCATTTCCTCAGCATATGGATAAATGCAACGGGGAAGTTAACTGAAAGAAACCGAACCTGTGGATATTGCATCGACCGACCAAGAAGCACGTCTCTGTGGAGAGGACGGCTCAGAAAGAGAGATATTCTCTACAAACACCGGGTGAGATCGCACCTTTGTCAATATAATGGATCAATGCATGAAATCTGACTCTGTTTATTTAGTTTAAGGAGTATATTGGGCGTTAACAATTCTGGTTTGCCTTTTATAATATTATTTCATTCAAGAACCCCTTGTGCGTTTAATTAACACAGCTATTTTTGATAGTTGCTACAGCAGTGAGCAGGAGAGGTGGGGAGAGGTGGGGCTATCGCAATTTTTTCAGGAAATATTCGTATAGAGGTGATTACACGGACTCGGTTGACCCCCCAGAGCGTTTCGTTTGCAAATCTATCCACCTTGGGACCCGTTATCGTTTGTGGGGTCAGTTTCTATCGGCCTCGTGTAAATAATAGGGCTATACGCACGCGAAACTATGCAGATACAAGCAGTTTTCTCCTCGTGTAAACGGCGCCTTAGTTCCGATAGTTCCTGGGATTTTGCGTTCACACCAAAAAGAGAACTTAGTTCATGAGAACTTTTCCCCCCTTTTCAGTCCCTGCTAGAGAGCAGGTACTTTCCTGGGGAGAAGAAAGTTCAAATTTCTGATTGGCTGGGCAAATTGCAAACCACGCCCCGTAAAACTCAGAAAAGTTTTGTGAAGCCGCCATTGTATTTGCTGGCATTAGCATTATTAGCATTAGCATTAGCCCAGCGCACCAACGGAGAGAGAATAACTTATGGCAACACAAAAAAAAACATGGGAGCGGTGGAGTGATGAGGAGGTGTCGGCGTTCTGGCGATTTATTCGGAAGGCTTCAGTAGAAGCTGCTGGGAGTCCCAGCAGCTTCTACTGAAGCCAGTCCCCAACTCCGGGGACTTTGGGCGGCAGTATACGCCGTGAAGTTGTTTGCGGCCCTCCAGTAAACCCAAAGCAGAAGAAGAAGTGACGTCAGCGGCTTAATTTGCCTAATCTTCCCTCAGGGACTTATTCCGGTGTGAACGCGATCTGCTCTTTAGTTCCATGGGGGAACTAAGTGCTGGGAACTAAGTGCTGGGAACTAAGTACGGCAAAGTACTTGGTGTTAAAGCGGCTATTGGTGCTCTAGGAGGAGATTCAGGTGATAAGGTGGGGGGTGTTACCTTGGTTGGTTATTGGCTAATGGTTACACAAGCCAAAACATTTGTTATGACATCATAAAGTGGCCAAAATCTGATCAGTTCTTTTTCAGACAGGTTTTAATATAAATGGATCAGGACAGAAAGTGAGCGAATCTTTTTTCATTAAACTTTCAGAATCTCTTTACACAGAGTAAACATGTTTATGTGTAAAAGACATGAAAAAGTGGATTTTGCATAATAGGTGACCTTTAAAGGACATACATATCTTTAATTTACGGGATATGAGTTCTGTTATTGCTCTTTTTTAATAGTACTGTATTAATTTGTTTCTTTTAATTATCAATATTTTCAATTTGAAAGCTTATGCTTTTTTTTCCTTCTCTCTGAACAAAGCAATTTCTTCCTGGATGTTAAAACGCAGGTTACTAATCTAAAAAATGACGTGCCTTTGTGTTATGTCATTACAGTTTTTATAGATGTAATATGGAGTAGGATCGGATAGACATCTAGATGATGTATTAATCCTAAAAGAATGAAACTGAATAATTTTACATGATTATGTTTTATTGGAAGAAACATCATACAACTGGAGATTTACCTTCAGTCTACCTGTTTAGTTGACCAGATTTTATGTTATACATTTTTGAACAAGTAATTACAAAAATAGCTTAATTCTTTTACAACCAAATACACCACCAAAAAACATTCTCACAGTCAAGTTTATACTGTGATATATGACTTGCTAAAACACCAAACTGTATTCAGACACTGTGCCATTTACTGACTCCATTAAGCCTTCCAACTGAAATTGATAGAATCTGCGTAAGAAATAAAAAACATATGATTATGTTAAGTGACAGAAAACCTTCAGCTTCCAGTGAAATAATGCTAAGAACTGTGTGGTTTACAGTTAAAATATCCAGCTTTCAATACAAATTCTCAAACATTTTGTATATGTCAGCATTTCTATTTTAACTTTATGATATACAACTCATGTACACACTTTGGTTTTTAAAGAAAGGATTTCTAGAATACCTTTAGCCTTAATAAATGACTGCTGCAGCATAGGTTAAATATGTGATGTAATTATCCTTCTTAATAACCCTTCTAAAGTGAAAAGATTTAGTGGGACATTACAACATATGTGTCCCACTGATAAGGAAATTGCCTTGTGTGATGTTGGTAATTCAACGTTACAATTTTCAGGCATACTGCAAGGGAATCTGTGCAAAAATAAACTAAACGTTTAATGTCAAAGAGGATGTCAGAAATAAAAATGTACTCCCTGGATTAAGAAGGATCTGAATCCGCACTCATTGCACTACAATGTGGTTGTGTATTTGAATTAGCAATGTTTAGCAGAATGTACGTTGTTTGTGAATAAAAGTATTAGACCAGTAAAACATTCAGATTATTCATATTCGAATATTTATGCTGTAAATGATTGCTATATTTCATGTCTAGTGCTCAACCAGAATATATATACATATATATCTGAATGCCATTCATGTTGTATCAAAAAGTACAACTAAAATCAATGCAGAAAATACAGATTTCCACTATAAACATAAACACATGTTTCCGCTTATATGTATGGATTTATGTCCAAGTACCAAACAGAACCAAATAATGATTCCATGTAATAACTAACCTGTATACATGTAGCCTAATATTTGGAAATGGTACATTAGTCAACCGCAAGTACAATTTATTTGTTCCTATGTTCAACATTTCTTTAAGCAAAGATCAATGTGTAACTGGATATGTGTGGATATGGAGCTTTAAATTGGTACATTAAAGTACTTAAACACCAAGAAAGTATTCCATCTGAGAAAAATGTATTACAAAGACCAAGACACACCATTAAAAGTCATCTGATAGTAAAGACCAACACTTTTTGTGATAAATGAATTAAAAACACACACAAAATTCAGTATAACTGACAGTTATAAACCGTCGTCCTAAGATGTACTGCTAAATAAAATGAATAGTTACAAACAACAATGGTGGCGAATACATTTGATTCAAATTCCTCAAAGTCTGTTAGTCCTTCAGTTCAAATGACTTACATTGATTCAAAAATATCAAACAAATAACACACATTTAAGTCAGCAGCAAGAACATACATTGTTGTCCAGGTCAAACTGGCAACAGTAATTAAACATGTCTCCATCAGTGATTAAATGATAACGATCAGTCAAAAATGAATCAGTTACACTGAAAATTATTAAGAAAAATAATTTGATTGGCAATCATTTGTCAAAGCAACTGAAACACTGATTTATCACGAATACTGAAAATGGTTCCTTGAAATCTGGCCTTGAAGTTACATTGTTTAAAAAAAAAAATGGCACCGACAGGAATGCAAAATGTAACTGGACAAGAATAGGTAAGAATATAATATAATAAAACAAAACAAAACAAAACACCACACACAAAAGTGTAAGCCATACATTTCTCTGACTTTTCTGAGTGGCCTGTTAAAATGGAAAGATTATTAAAGACTGCTTATTGCAAATGAAATTAATCTACTGTCGTTGGAGGTTTCAATGAGGGATCACAAGTTATACAAGCTGTCAGGATGCTAAACAACACTCTGTCTTGCTATGATCATGCATTTAATAAGTGGAAACCTTAAAAGAGCCATACACAAAATCACCACAACTTGTTCATGTATCTGTGCAGTAAATCCTTCCTTATGTGCCATTGACGTCAGTGACTCCCAAGTAACTTTGACTGGAAGTCATTGAAGCTATTGTGCAACATCATCAGCCACAGGTGTGTCTTTACTTCTCAGGATGAATGTGGAAATGCAGGTTTCTCTGTCGCCCCCTCCTGGAGACTTTCCATATCAGAGGATCTGAGTGTTCAGGATGACACTGAGGCATCGCTCTGCTTAATAAAGGCCAGTGTGCCCCTTGTGTGCTCTCTGCCCGTCTACGTGTCCTTTCTCCACCAGGCCCGCACCCCTTCAGGGCTGAGAGAGACGCTTGCGTTTGAGCTTCTGTTTCGCCATTTCCTCCTTATTTGAAAACAGAGAGAGGAGAATACTGACCCATATCTGTTACTCCCAAAGAGATCTGTCCATCCATCCATACATCCGTGAGAGTGGGTGAGTGCACACACCGTACAGCGTTCATGATTACAATCAGGCAGCAAGTCAGGCTTTGTTAGTAAGGCCACTAGACTGTTAAGGCACTTCATCTCTGTCCTCTGGACTGTCCTTCAAAGTAAGAGTCCGACTGACAGTTCAGTTTCTTCTCTTCAAAACTATAGCTGCATTCTCAACACGGGACCTCTAGAGTTTAAAAAAAAAAGTTTTCATAATACTGTAGACTCAGAAATGTCCTTGTTAAAAAAATCTCAATATATTATATGAAACGTTTTACAAAAAAAAAAAAAAATGGGAAAAAAGGGAGCGGGTTGTTGTTGTAATTGCAATATATACCATATCAATATGTACAGATTCCATGCTGCTGGTTAGTCATCACTGCAAAAGAAGAATAGTTGAGATCATATTAAAATCCACACATAGTTATTAATTGAAAGCACTCATGCTCTATACTTACAAAATGCCCCTGTATCAAATCAGAGTCAAGCAATTAATTTCATTCTGACAATCTATGAGTAATATTATTGTTGTACATTGTTATATTTTTTACTATTTCCTGACTATGTCAGCTGGTGTCTCATAATACAAAGCAAACCATTAATTAATTACTTACTTAACTACTTAAGTAAACACTATGCTTAAAATAAAAGTTAGATCTCTTGACCCTCACCTTGTGCCAGCAGCCTGGTATGGGCAGCCCGTCCTGTCCCTGGAAAGAGAACAGCAGGGGAATGTTACCAAGCAAGACAAATCATGTGATGCCTTCTTTAACACACCTTACAGACCTGCAGATTCAAATATCAGAGACAATTGTAATAATGTCTAATGTGTGAACTCCCTTTCAGCAAACTGAATAAAAGAAACCAAAGGTGGAAGATTCTATCAAATTCATAAAGACAAACGAAAAGAGAATAACTCAGTGTTTTTCCTACAATGTAAAGTCTGAAGAAGGAACTTTTTTGATTACATTCTAATCAAGTCAATTCTTAGTAGCCTTACAGTATGTGGAGCATTTTGGATGAGATAATTATATGTCTTTTAAATGCAGGCGTACAACCAGCAGCTGGTTAGCTAAGACTAGCATATAGACTGTAAACAGAAGGGAACAGCCGAGCTAGCACCTAAACATGATAACATGTCAAATGTGTAACTAAAACAAACTGGCTGCAGCCTTGTAATTTATCAGGCGGCTTTGAAAGTGGTATAGGTGCTCAAATCTAACTCTACATCAGAAAGCTAAGCAAATGTTAGTACACCTGCGTTCTTTGGCCAGTTCAAATAATGTTTGATTTTTGTAACCTAGCATCTTCCATCTCTTCATTACACAAATCAGACGCACAATGTCCAATCAAATAGATAGAATAGAAATATCCAGTATAGACATGTATAACAGAGTTTGACAGATAAAAAGACAGGAAACAAAGTGCTTTAACAGAAAATAGCAAACAGAAGATGTATACATAGGGATGCAAAAGGAGGAGAAAAGGAGGCAGAGGTACTGTACCACAGGACAGGGGGCCTCAGGGCCAGAAGGAGGAGGAGGAGGAGGTGGAGGGGGAGAAACACCTTTAGTCTCACCACAACCCTGTCAGCAAGAGCCAGTCACACATTCACAGCATTGAGGAGGAAACTCAGAGAAACACAAGTGACAGAAACAGTGCTGAGAGAGTAGAAAAGGGAAATACTGTTCAAAGTGAGAGGAAAGTTGAGTTCATGAATTCATTAATATGAGGAGTATTACAGTGTGTGTGTGTGTGTGTGTATATGTGGAGGTGACATACCACAGGACAAGGCTGGTCCAGGCCTGGAGGACCCTGCTCTCCCTTCTGGCCCTTTAGTCCTCTCTTTCCCACTGATCCCCTGTCACCCTGTGCAGAGAAAAACAATATTGAATTTTGTGTGTTTTGATGAAGAAAATTATGAAATGTTTTTCTTCGGCGGTCTGTACAAACCTTGTCTCCTCTTTCCCCTCGATCACCCTTGCCTCCCATCAGACCTGGGAAACCCTGGACAAAGAAGCACAAATAGGTCAGGAGAAAGCTGATCACTTGACACACTTTAAAGTAAATTAGAAATGTCAAGATAGAAATACCAAAAGAAGAACTCACATCTAGTCCAGGCTCTCCTGTTCTGCCCTGTGAACAAAGATCGACACATTTAATCATGATGTAATGGAAGACAGTGAAAATATTTAGTAAACACATTGTGGAGGTGATCGGGTGCTTACTTTTTCTCCTTTTGAACCTGGAAGGCCCACTAACCCTGTAGACCCACTTAGTCCCATGGGACCATCTAATCCCTGCAGGTAAAGGCAATTATTATCACTGTATCATGTCCATGTATGTTAGGTTTTATTTAGCTTAAAATGTATCACTTACTTTGGGGCCAGGAGCACCATAATCCCCCTGCTCTCCCTTCATCCCGTATCCAGGCTCACCCTGCATTAGAAAGACAGCAACACTGAGCACCAAACAACATGTCAAACCTTCCACCTCTCACTACTGTCTGAAGATGCAGGGTCTATCAGTCTTACCTTAGGACCGGGCATACCATGCAACCCCTGAAAAACATAGAGTACTATCAGTTTAACAGGTGCAGACAACACACTTGACATGAAACCTTTCTAACTGGAGAGTGATAACTAGTGCTCACCATGGATCCAGGGGCCCCGGGAATTCCTGGTGGGCCAGGTGGGCCCGGCTGTGAAATCATCTGAACCTGAGCCCCATGGAAATGAGAAGATTCGGAGATAAGATAACAATACATATAAATAAATCTACGGTGAGGGAATAAATAGGCACATTTAAACTGCCTCAGAGGAGGGTAGATGTTTTTTGTCAATTTACAAAAGCTAGTTATTTCTTTATGTGCTAGCAAATGTAAATAACAAATCTGAAAATGCATAATGTCAATGTCCTGTTGTTGACCCTTATGTGCTACACTGACAAAATGACACAAATGAGTGAAAGATGTATTGCATGTGTGTTTCACTAACCAGGTTGTCCTCTATCCTGCAGTCGCCCTTCTCTCCTTTATGACCGTCCATTCCCTAAACAAAAAATGAGAACAAATTCACTTCTATGTGCTTCTCACTGTTTGTGTATCAGAGAAACATGTTTACTCTCATTACTTACAGCAGGCCCAGAGAGCCCCATCTCCCCCTTCTCTCCTGTGTGGCCAGCTGGTCCCTCCTCACCTATGTCACCTTGAGGTCCCTGAAGGCAAAGAATGAAAAAAGACATATTCGTCTCTTTAAAAAAACATAAACAAAGAAAAGAAAAACGTTTTTAGCCTGTGTTTCATTTCCACACACCTTCTGTCCATCAAATCCTGCTGGCCCAGGTAAACCAAGCTCACCCTGGAAGACGACAAAGAGAGAGATTAACTTGTGATAATATGATATGGTTTTAACACAACATCCAAATACATTTTCAGTTAGCAATACAAATGGCAAGTGGAAGGGCACTGGTAGGATAATAGAGCCCTTTACCTTTTCCCCTGTTGGGCCTGAGGGTCCAGGTGGTCCAGGTGGGCCCTGCAAAGAGAAATACATTGAGCCAGTGATAAATATGCCTGGATAAACTTTAAGATGATATGACATATCAACGTATACATCCTGCTCCTGCAATAATGTTTTGACCACTTGAAGGCAGTATAGAGTTTGAATACAAAGGCACCACCTTTAACAGGGTAACATTGTTTGCAAACAGTTGCTTATTTAAACATCCTGCATCTATGGAGCAACTTTAACATTCCTTTGCGGGTTGGAAAGCAAAAGTCAGAAACTTGCTGTAAAGCTCCAGAGGGCTGAGGGGAACTGCAAATATCATTCTCTGTTGTTGACCTCTTTCACATACAAGTAGTCATGCAACCCATTGTAAACAAAAGTACTGCTTATAGTCCTCAAACAGTCAATAGACGTGTTGTATATGTTTAATCTGTTTATCACAATGGTGAAAACTATGAGAACTTATGAAACTTCAGCATGAGGCTTGAACTTGGGCCAACACAAGACAATACATCAAGGCGGATGGATTTCACAATGCAGGCCTGACAGTAAACAAAGCTGGTGATTTCTTTCTCTCGTTCACTCTGTTTGCTGATCACGACCAATTTGAAGCAATTTTATATTACAAAGATTATACTGAGTGTGGTTTGTGGTACACAATGATCTGGCATCATTTTCCATTCTGTTGATTGATTTGTTGCTCAATAAGACTGTTAAAGGAGGAGACAGTAATTGGTCATGTGACTTTATGTAACACTGCAATAGTCTTCCATGCTGGTTGAGTGACAGCCTCTTAAATTACGCTCCTTAATCTCTTCATCCACAATTTTACACTTGTAACCTCTCCCCTCTGAAGTCCATATTGAAGCCATAAAAAAAGGAACACATGTTGCCTCCCGGGTGTGTACATGCTGGTTCTTGCCCTTTTTCCAATTTCTAAATGTTTGTTTGTTTTAACTTTAAGCCACGGGAACCAATAGATGTTTACAAACAACTATTTGATCTGAGATATTCCATCAATGGAAAGTGAAGGCTTCTCATGCAAATAATGATACAAAAGCCGCAAGATGAATTGCAGTAAATAAGAAACCAATTTCAGCATGGTTTTTAACCAAATTCATCATCCCCTAAAATGTCACCACAGATTAAACCAATTTCGTTTTTCACACAAACAAGTGAATGGATCATAACACGAAGTGGGGGGCCAATGAGCATTCCCCGTTTCATAGACATAACTCCAGAGGAGACCTTGCGTGTTATTTGGTGCCAACTGATCCACGTTGGCAAGAAGCTTCTGATTATATCCCAGGTTGAAGTTTTCCCTAACTTCTCTATGACTAGACATGGTAGAGTCAAAAAGTCTTGCGTATGAGTGGGATGTGAAACTGAGACTGTGGTGTCTTTGAGGGGTATTTTCAATGCGTTCCCCTTGTGCACTCATATATGATATGAATGTATTGATTAAAAAAACACCATGCTGCCCTACAGGGAGTAAAAGCCTGTTTCGTGTGAGGCACTTTGGATACAGAGCGGGGAAACACACGCAACACAATGTAAACAAAGGCTGTTCATTATCTGCATGATTAAGCATGCTTCTTTAGGCTTGGTGTTATCTGATAAAAGAGCACAGCTGTACTATATTTGCTGGGGCTGTGCGTTTTATCCCAAATGAATAAACAAAAGAGCCTCGTAGAGTAACCCAGGACATTCTGCAACATGTGGCTCTCTATAGTGACATTCAATACATTTAAAGTATGTACATTACTTCTGGGACGATCATCAACAAACAAACAAACACTAATCCATTGGCTGAAGCAGGTGGGATAAGGTGCAGATGCACACAGGGGGTCTATGCATCATCACAGTTGTTAGGTATAGATCACTCCACTAAAACCATGCAGAAACAACAGCAGTTTACCGAAACACTGATGGTGTTGATAGCCTGTCAAGAAGAAATGGTGAGATATTTAGTTTTGGGGTTAAAAAATGTGTATCTTTACAAGCTACCATTTCTGGGCCTGTTGAAAGTTTTGCCTGATGCTTTACTTGAGCTTCAGTGATAAATGCCTGATGGTATAAACGATAAATCTGGTCTCATTGGCGCTTTGAAGTCACTCACCTGGAAAGCATCTAGAAGCTTCCCATTGAAGTCGATGATGTCTGAGGAGCCTGCGTCGCCTTTTTCACCAGGATAACCCTAACGAATTTACAGAGAAAAATGAATGGGATAAACATAAACAAAGGAAGTTCATCAAACAAGTGTTGGTAATGATTGGTGAATGATTTTAGAGGGCTAATACACATACCATCGATCCCAGTGGTCCTTGCTCTCCTATTTCTCCTTTGTCTCCCTGTTGGATCACACATATGGCATTGTTTTGTAAAAATCTCTAAGACAATAGACACCTAACTGTGAATAAATATTGTTATGACAAAGAAGAGTACACATTTTTGATGTAGGTATTTCCAAATGCCATTTAGTCTTTTACCCTAAATCCTTGAAGTCCATCCATGCCTCTTTCTCCTTTTTCTCCTGTACCTGCCTCGCCCTGTTTCACACACAACATTGAATGCCAATACATGAGAAGACAAATCCATCAAAAATACTCAGCGTGCAAGGTAAAATAACTGATGAGTAATGCTTTTCTCTACCTTCGCTCCTTGAGGACCCTGTGATCCTGGATACCCGGGCCCACCATCTTCTCCCTGTCAACAGAATCAATAAATGTCAAAATTACAAACTTTTTCTCACATGAAAATGCAATTAAGTTGAGAAAAGGTAAGAAATATTTTTAACGTACCGTCTTCCCAGGCGTTCCTTGTGGCCCCTGAAGCAGACATATATATATATATAGTTACAATAATTATCCAGAGAAAGAAAAATAATCACAGCAAACCTATAATATGAAGTGATGAACAACAATCTGAAGTGGATTTGAAGTAGACTCACCTCAACACCATCACGACCTGGAAACCCCTGAGGATGACAGAGAAGAAATGTTATAGTGTGTGATAATAAAAAAAACGACGTACTGTGCACTTTTCTTTTACTTTGATATAAACTGCCATGATGTGACATGGACTTAGGAAAAGACACACCATGGTTGAACCCCCACAGTTGTCTTTTTCTCCTATAAAAAAGGGAGTATAATTGCATATAGGCTCACATACAGAAATGATGATGTATTGACATTTCTTTCGTAAAGGACATTCAAGTTTACACTATGCTAGCAAAGATAAGAAAGGAAACACTAAAGCACACTTCCAAAGCATTTAGAGAATGTGATCAGTAATTATCATGGCTGCTATTTCGGAACATACGGGTCGTCTGGCTCAGTTAGGAACCTTACAAACAGAAAAACACTATTTCACCTCAGCCTTGGTCTGTTACATTTCCTTTAAAGATCAGACAACTTCAGCCTCTAGATGTCAGTGTTGAACAAGGCATGAGCGGCCCATGAACTCCAGTCTAGAAAGCACTTTTTCTGAGCCAGAGTAAACACAGACGGGCGACAAAGGAGAAACAAGATACAGATGCTTCCTCAGGCCACGAAGGCTCACTGAATGGTTACATATGCTACAGCCATCAGATCTCAATCTAATTTAACACCTGGGAGTTTTAGACTGAGGTGTTTGACAGCGCTCTTAACCACCATCATCAACACCCTAATTATGAAGACACTTTCTGCTGCTTTTCCTATGTGTCACCATCTATATATATATATATATATATATATATATATATATATATATATATAAAAAGGGTTATAATAGTTTATAATTTAGAATTATTTTATATTTTACTTTTTAATTCCATAGAAGTTTAGTTTTCAGAGTGAATATTTGCTTGTTTTAATTCTGCATGCTAAATACAACAGGTAGTAATTGTGAATTATTTTTAACTTAGCCCCATCTTCTGGAATGTCAAGTCCACAGTTGATGGAGAATTACGTGTCATTTTTTCCAATTGTACCGATTTCTTATAGCAAAGAGAAAAAGTAAAATGAAATTAGTTGTTGTTCATTTCAATAGTTTTTTAACAACTAAAGATTTTAAATACGTTTTCTTAAAGTATATTGTTTTAGTTTTCAATAATAACCCTGCACTGGAGCTCTGGAAAGTTCTCAGTGAATGATAAGTGATTAAGCCCCTCCCTCCTCCCAACACAAACTCTAAGAGAGTATTGCATGTCCTCTTTCTGGCATCTGTCCATCAGTGATTCGGCTTACTTAGGTAAACTGACCTATCACGGCTTTGAGCGGGCCAGGTGGACGTGTGTGTGGAGCAACATCTGTTATGAAGTCATCCATAGCAGAGACAGCTCTCTTACTCTCCCTCTCTCACACCTCCCGCTATCAAGCAGTTGTGTTTACTTTCACTGAGTGCACTGCAATAAATGCATGATATAAATTGCAGTGTATAATAAGCCTTCCACACTGTCCTCATATTTTACAATAATGTGCAAAACTATTTAGATGTGCAGCGGCATGTTTTTATTCCTCCTGCTCTCTGCCAGCACATACACATTGTCATCCTGATCCATCTACTGCTATATGTTTTTCTTCTATTTCCATCCTCAGCTGCTTCAGCCGCTTCTTATCCTCTTTTTTAACCCTACACATCTTTTGATCTGTCTTCAACAGCAGCGGGAAATAAATCGTCTTTGCAAATCATTTTTAGCACTTCTTTTATCTTCAGTGCAGAAGAGTATGGATGAAGAGCGATCTGGATGGCAGATACATTTCAAAATAGTACATTCACTTCATGATATCTTGAATTTAGATGTGTTGAAGTAAAGCACATGTTATTTACCATTTCAGCAGTTTCAAATAAAAAACCCTTCAGACAGAAACTAGTTGCAAATTTCACTTTCCACTAGGTACAAACGAAGGCTTAGAGGACACCCACAGCCATGCTAACTGTCTCCTGCTCAGCTCACTCACACATCTGCACACAACATGGAGCCTCTTTTAGCGCCACCCTGCTTTATTTTGCTGTTATTGGTTTTGAATTGCCTTTAATCAACTTGGAGGAACCATTTGAAATTGGCTAGGTTACAAACAGTCCCCATCACTTCAACCTTTTCTGCTTTTAGTAATATGTTTGCGCTGTGCTGGCATTATCTTTTGTCAGTTCTGTGTAAGCTCACCACTCACCCACACTGAGACCGACATTTTTCACTTGAATCCCTTTGCTGTCCTGTGCCAGTTGAGTGTAACAGAGCATTCATTCCTTCATTTGGTTAAACAACAATAACCCTTATAGCCTATTTCTTTTTTCCATCTTACGACCACAGATCTAAGCTGACGCTGCATACAAGCTAAGCTCTGGAAAGCAGAAGTTAATTTTGAGAAACATAAACTGCCTCAGGCGAGTAGCACAACTATTGTTTGGTGAGACCAGCAAACTGACCATGAACTCGCTGCCGCAGAGCCGTATCTATTTCAGGGGTGCACAGCGACACAGTCGTGGTAGGAGGGTGGGAGAATCGGGGTGTGTTGGAGGACTTGTGGTCACTTTCTTACAGAAAACAGATGAGGCCAGGAGTATAGTTGCTATTCTGGGATCTTTTAGGTAAGCCACAGCACACTGGCAAACCCGGAAGAATGACAATATGGGATCACTGCAATTTACTGCATAGACCCTTTACCCCTTAATACCATAGTCTGTATAATACATGTTTATAAAAGCACATGTACACACAGAATACAAACATACATTTGCAAACTGTCCCACCCTGCGGTTGAACCCTACCAGGTCAGGTCGACTACTGAGGTGCTTTACGTGGCTTCATTCTATGTGGTGTAAGTTAGAGGATGAGGAAAAGGGAAATAATAATGGCAGAGGAGGATAATAACAGCAGTGGAGTGTGTGTGTGGGTGTGTGTGTGTGTGTGTGTGTGTTGGTGTGTATGCATTGTTTTGTTAAGTGGGTGTACATTTGGCACTTGTGGTGCTTGAGGTGAAGCTCTTACCGACTCTCCAGCAGGGCCACGTGGACCATCCTTGCCTGTGTTTCCAGGGGGGCCTCTGGGGCCGGGGGGGCCCGGAGGACCGGGAGGACCAGCGGCGCCAGCCTGGCCTTGGTCACCCTGATGAAAAAATAAATAAACAAACAATAATATGAGGACCATGGAAAAGCAAAACTTAATTTGAATAATAGCTCTATTTCTTTGACTGACTGTAGTCTAAAGCAATAGATGTTTGGGCCCATTGGCTGGCAGAAACAAAAACAATATCATTCACTTTTGAGTTGGGAGTAGTAAGCAAACAGAACAGGTTATTTACTCATCCACTGGGAAGGGAGCAACATTAAAGTAATTAGGATTCATTTGGTATTCAGCTAAGTCCAATATTTATTATTATTAGGGTTATTTTTGGTTTCTCCCAATTCTGAGAAAAAAACAACTTGCTTCCACATGTCTATCTGAGGTTTCGCGCTAGGCATACGGTCGGTTTATATGTTTTTTACAGGGTGAGTCAGACTGATAGTTATACGCAAAGTAAAACACAACCATGCTGACAAAATCACAACTGAAAACATCTGTTTATTTTATTAAAGTCTGTCACTACCTATTAAGGACATTTTCATCACTGCGTTAACATCTAACTGGGGACTCATGCACACAAAAGTAACCAATAATGCCCTAAAAGTCTTGCTCAACACACAAGGGGATGTAGGCTCAGTGTTGTCTTCTATACAATCACATGGTGACACTGCCTCTGCACCCTCTCCTCTCTGCAGACATGCAGTGCATTATGGTTTGCTTTAACAAAAGTAACTTGCATACACTTGGAAAAATATTGAACATAAAATCAATGAAATTAAACACGAGTTAGAAAGTATTGAAGATAGGAGCTGCATAGCTGATGATAACATGCATAAGAGAACATGGGTTAAAGTGTTAAAAGTGCACACATGCCTTAGTTGTGGTCTACCTTCAGAAAGCGTCTCTGAAAGCTACCGGACTGATCTCCAGTGATAAAGCCATGGTCATATCTGGGGAAGGCCAACTGAGATGCAAGAGTATAGCAGCAAGGACGAAAAGTAGAGACACAGCGAGAAAGAAAAAAGAAAGGAGAGGACATGGAGTGTGTTTGAGGACAAAAGAGAGGGAGAAGAAAAGAGAAAAAGTGAGTAAATATCCAAAACCTATAGTTATTAAGAGGTTGCAAATAAGGAGGGAAACATCTGCTGCAGGAAAAACCAGATGAGAGTTCAGCAGCCTCTGAAGCTGTAAGCCAAAAGAAAAAGCTCCAGAGGAGAGTCTTGCTCCTCTATCTGAAGGGAAAGTGACAGATCAGCAGCCGGACAGGTGACTGCTGGGAGGACTACGAAACAGGAAGCTCCGAAGAACAAACCTTGACGGTGAGAATCTGATTACTGTGCAGACCTGCATATGGGCTGTAGTTAGAAGGACCCTGAAGAGAGGAAGTGACAAAGGTGAGCAACTTTTTGTGTCATAGCAGTGTGGTTGAAAGGGGCTCAAGGTTTAAATATCCTCATAACAAGATAGATATACCTTTGATGAATTAACAAATTGTCTGTAAATGAAACAAACGCTTCAATAAAAAAAAAAAAACGAAAAAAAACTGAGACCTTTTCAGAAGCAATATCCTGTAACTCTCCCTCAAGCACTGTGGGTATTTTTTCTATTACATTTTCTCCCATCCGTCTCTTTGTGACCAAACATAACATTGGCTCTTTCCAGCCGACAGACTGTAACTGTGATGATTGTCTGTCAGGCTGAAAGGAGCAGAGTTGGTCTGCCACCACAGAGCTCGGAGCAATGTGTTGCTTCTCTGGTTGAGTTCCCTCTGACAACACAAGGAGGGATGGATGGGGAGAAGATCTAAGACAGGGGAGAGGGACTCAGAGATGCTAGCCTGCTCATGAGGTTTCTGTTAACAGGCCGCGGTCGGCGTTGGATAGCTGAGGTTTTTTCTCACACCGCAGACCCCTCCTCTTCCTCCTCTTGCCTATTCACTCCTCTCTCCCCACTGTCACATTCACTCATTCACACCGTTACCACCATGGAGACCACATACACAATGCTTCTTAAACATCTCATAAGAGAATAGGCTGTTTCACAGTGGGTTTTCCCTTTACCTTGTTCTCATCAGACTTTAAGCTGATACTAAGACAAACAGCCATTCAACCTTGGAGCCCTGTCTAACCATAGCTGTTTCTGTGGAGAACAGAGAAGGCCTTGGCTGGTGATCAAACTCCTATTTTGGCTCGTCTTTCAACACAGCCGCAAGATGAACCTAAACATGCATTAACTATGTCATGGATGTGACAGTATGGAGTTTGGTTATGGCTACCACCTTTATGCCATTCCACAAGAGGTTGTTTTGTAGAAATATGCTCCACACATACGTCGTTCTGTGACTTCTGATTGTTCTTTATCACCCCTGTTATCCTGTGTTTCGAATCTGATCTGGGACCAGATTCAACCTGACAAATGCACTGAAAATGACGGATTGACAGGAAGTCACATTGGCAGAGATTCATTGCCACTTCCTGTTTTTCACACGTTTCCTCTCATCCGTTGTCAGAGTTCAGAGGTGAATCAGCGTTCAATGTTGAGTTCGGGGCAGGTTGATGAATGAGCATACATATTGAGGATTTACTCCCACCACCTTTTATCTGCTCAACTTCACTAGGCTTTGATTCATAGCCGTTCGGAAAGTCATGTTTTAAAGATTCAGCAACCAACAGTTTTTCATTTGCTAACCTACAGTATCTATGAAAATGTACTCCAGTGCCAAACCTCATTCATAAATACAGTAGTTTTAGGAGCTGCAGGGTTTGTTTTGAACCAACTATGTGTCTCTAAGCAATGCTCTGAGGTTTTTCAGCTGCAGACTTATCCAAGGACATCCAAGCTCCAGAAGTCTTGTCCAAATGTAATATTTTCCATTTGGAAGAAGTTTGCAAAGCAGAATGCCAAAAATATGTAATCTTGCACCAACTAGATCTAGGTAGATGTAGCACTTATCTACATTTGCTGAGTGTATCTAAACATACAGTATATATCTAAATATATCTGGCTTCATACAAAGTGAAAGTGAGCTCGATATACATCATCAAACATAATAATTATTTGCATTGATACAACAATCCAAAAACCTAAAGTTAATCAATTAGAAGACCAAGATAAATGAACTCATTTTCATGGAAGCCTTTTCATGTTTACTTTAAAAGAAAATTGCGTTTAAAGTGATCAAAATGACTAAACGATCACTTCAGTTCTACAGGAAAATTAGAAAAATTACACACAAGACCATGAAAATAAAATGTTTTTGATCTTGGGCACAAACCCCAAATTATGCAAAGATGACCTCAGTAGCGACATTTATTTTCCGTGTGAGGAAGTGTGACCTTGACCTTGTTTGAATTCGAAACATAATCACACAAATTTGAAAAAAAAAGCATTCAGGGGTCATTGGGTACATGCCTTCTTCAAAGAATCCAAGCCGCTTACCATGTAAAGAACAGGGGGCTTATTTCAAAACCACATTGAATGAAATAGGAGATAATTACACAGATCTCATAGTGTGCAGAATGATATCAAATGAAAAGACAACACCGTAACATGGACCAGATGCAGAGCAAGGTTCCTCTGTAATATAAAAAAACATAGTTTGGTAGAGACTAGATGGCAGCTTTGGCTCACCGCCCCAACCATTGGGTTTTGATGGTGACATTTAAGTATTTCCATCGTTTTTTAATATCATCATTTTTCATCTCCGGCTTTGGCGATGCGGGCAACTCAAACCTCATGATAGGAGCAGGACTATGTTGTTGCTGGGGAAGCGGCACTTTTCTTTTGAATTAATGAAAGCCTTGAGTGTTAAATGTTATGTGGGAAGAACAAAATGTGCCAAAACTTGTGATCAGTAATGTTTTCTTTCAAATGTTTTTATGTCTGTTTGCACGAGCACAATGTCCCCCTATTGTGATTACAAGTTAATGATAAGTAGTTCCACAAATATTATTAAAACTTCTTTGATTTCCAAATTGTGATGGTCTGGTTCTCCTAAAAGCTGCACATGTTCCCTGGGTTGGCGTAGGTTTCCAGGGTATCAATCTTTCTATCTTAATCTTGGCAAGATGTGAAATTGTGTATTTTTCCTTAAAAATAAATGGCTTTTGATATTCAGAAAAAGGTATAATGTACATTCTTGTTACATTTAGTACTTTTAATAACAAGATGTAAAGGAAAACAGCAAAGAAAGAAACTTCAACTTTTTCATTTCTTTCATAAAAAGTGCATGTCAAGTGACCCCAAAAAAGGCAGTGGGAATCAGAAAAGGAGATACAGTATGACCGAAAACAAGAAACTTTAAGGATGATTTCCAGTAATGGAAGCTCCTTTTTTAAATTGCAAAGATCTGCTGAGGAACAAAACAGGAAAGGCCTTTTCAGCCAGCTCAGCCGTAGTGAACGAATATCTTCTAAAACACTCATAAAAGCACATCGTTTCCCCTTCTCAGGCAAAAAACAGAAAGCATGACTTACCCTTGGCCCAACGTCTCCTTGGTCACCCTGTGAGAAAAACAGGAAAATAATAACCGTCAGCAGTCATTACCACCGCATATGCAAACAGGAGGAAGCATGTAAAACACTGCTACTATAGATAAGCTGTGACAGACAGGCTTAAAACATAAGACTTGTGTACAGACAGGAAGAGAATCAAAGGTCATCTGTACCCGAGCCATCCCAGGAAGTCAACATTTACTGCATAAATCATTTGACAGGCTACAATTGAGATCATCTGACAGGACGTGATGAAATTAGAAGTGGGATTTTGTTTCATGATCTCATCACAGGCCTAGCATGGTAACATGAAAAGAGCCAATTATCCAAACCTAAGCATCACCCGTAATTGACACGCTCATCAGACTGAATCCAGCTCTGACAGATACTGTTTACTTCTGTTGTATTGTGGTTGTGCTTATCTGGACAATTTCAGTTTGAGTGCAAAAACGTACACATGCAAAGTTACCCATCGGTGTGTACACAAATGACCACAAGCATGAGCTATTACAGTCGCTCACATCTCAGGCTGGGCAGAGGTTCACAGAGCGGCAAAACATCTGGCTATCATCGAGCACTGTGGAAGGCCTGTTGGCCTGTAAACCTGTATAGCGCTCCTTGACGTGAGAATGTGAGAAGACATACGAGCTTCTACATAACTAAATGTAATCTATGGATTGTTTGATGGACGTGCAGTGAAAGCGTTAACGTGGGAGGGCGATGCAGAGAACACCTGTCAGGTGTTTGCAAGTGTGTGTGAAGCTCTCCGCCTGTGACAAAGAAAAACATCCATGCTATGCATTGACTTGTCTGGCAGGGTTGTGGAAGCATACCTTATCTCCCTTGGGTCCGGCTGGTCCCTGTATGAAGGAGGAGATAATCGGAGACAGTTGGTCAACATAAATCAGTTATCATATCAGAAATGTATATCATAAAACCGTTTGTCTTCAACTGGCTGCTACCAGGAAGCATTCAATCAATTGGGAAGGCAAGTAAGTAATACCACTTAATGCAGCCGTGCCATGGAGACTGTTTAATAACAAGTCACTTCGTATGTGTATTTTGTAAATTGTGTTAAAAAAAAACACATGCATACTTCTTAGTTAACATTAAGCTGTCTTTGGTTCTTTTCTGCCGTAACACATTTCAATTTCCACTCTGTGGGACGAATAAAGGTATTCTGATTCTTTCTGAGCGCATTTCACAAACGTTAACTAAAAACCCGGTCTGCAGGCTGTGCTCATGTGAAGTAGTTGAGATGCTGACACACAGTGACTCTGTGATATCGTCTCATGAACACCAGAGCCACAGATGATCTGATCCCGCCAGTTGGTTTATTTGTGCCTTTTCCATCTCTTAGTCTGCCGGACTCAGCGGCACAAGAACCCAAAATGTGGCGGCATTACAGACTAGAGCCTGGCAGCGAGGACTACATGGACTCCTGCTACTGTCTCTGACTCTGACCTTAGCCCATGTCTCTCTTAAAGTGACTACAGTGAGCAGACCTAACCTCTTACAACCCAATCACCCTTTTCACGTCTTTGTTCTCTAAACTGTCTATTCTTTTCACTCACTCCATACTGTATTTCACTCACTCCTCCTGCTTTCATTCAGCCTCTAAATCTGCCATGCAATCTGGCGTGAAGAATCCCTTTTCTGATTTGTTCCCCCTTTCCTCACCTCTTCTCTGTCTGGTAGACATTTTGTCTGAACTGGAGCAGTAATTGTGTTCAGGAGTACTGAAGAGGGGGGGGGGGGGGGGGGCCTGGTGCAGAGGATAAGCATTTAGTTAATGTGACTGGCCACATGATGACAGACTGCAGCTTATCTCCTGCATGCTCTGCTCTTTCCTTCTGTTCAGAGAGAGAAGAGATGGAGGAGGAAGCGACAGCACACCACTTCTCCTGTAGGTGTGTAATAATCAAACTGCTTTTATCCTTTATTCTCTTGTTTTTATCTCCCCCCAAATCCCTTGAGTACTAAGGCCACTCTGGTCCTGAGGTCTGTGTCACACCTGCTGGGGTTTTACGGAGGCTCTATGATTGGGCTTGTCCTCTTAAAAGACAGACCCAGCTTGAGGTCTCCTTTTGCAGGAAACAACAACTTAACGGTGTTTAGAGAGTCGCTATTCAAACAGCTCTCCTTTTGCTGTGAGGAGTTTACAGCAGATGACTTGTCCTTCTCGTGGGCACAGCGACCAGAGACGGGGGGTAGAGAGGGTACAATAATTACTTTTTAAAGAGCCCCCGTAGAGGTTGTAAACTGTATTCTCTCCCTCACTTTTCCCACTGGTGTGTGACCTGTTCTCTGTGCTAGGCCTGTTTCCTGGCTACAGCTGGGTGTGTCTGGGGGTGCATCGGGGTGATGGATGAGACTCAAAGGTGAAGTGCAAAGGGGATTTCAGCGTTTAGTTGAGCCATGAGTCCCCCGTGGCTGTGAGCCCTGGGATGACTTAAGAGCTGGAACAGGAAACAAGACGGCTATCGGAGCATTTTCACTCAGTTGCAGCGTTCCCTAAGGAACAGTAAACATGATTGATGAAATAAGACAGGTGCTGGTTTAGTAAAGCCTCACCTGTCTTACTTTATCACAGGCCAATGGCCCACCTGTATGTTCAGAAGATTGACTTTGACAAGGATATGCTTAAGTATAATTTATATGTGTTATTAAAAAAAAGACAACAGGTGTGTGATGTGTACCTGGCTTCCCTTAGGACCTGGAGAACCCTGAAATGAGAAGAAAATTGATTTAAATAAAACTATTGCCAGCCCCTAAAGCAAATTTCACACATTTGATTTTGGGAATACTCACTGGTTTCCCATCCAAGCCAAGAGGACCCTGTTGAATCAAAGACAAACATTATGGCAAAAGACCAAAAAAAAGCAAAACAAAATCATTAAAATTAATAGTTTGCCATTTTTGGAAAAGTAGTTATAGCGCACACATGAGCGAGAGCCAAGAAAAGGTTAGTTTACATTTAATATATCTAATGTCATTGGCAAAATAAAAGTCTGGAACCTTGCACATGATTTTTAAAAAGAAATACATTTCAGTTTTTAGTACAGATTACACATTAGTGTACTTTAAGTCTAAATCTTAAAATGGAAGTTAAACATATTTCCAAAAATGTTAAACTACTCCTTTGATGAGTGGCTTCAAAAACAAGTCCGCTGTGAATAATAATAAAATAAAATATGATTAAGGCATTGTTTGTTTAAATCCACTGACAATCTCCCCCCATAAAATATCATTAACCGGCTGTTATTTATAAGTATTGTAATAATGTTTGAGTCTTGTCTCCGTATCTCTTAGAAAAAACAATGCAAGTGATCTCAACTTAGGAAAAACAGTTAAGTGAATTTGGCAAGAAAAACGTTTGCAGAGAGGACAGTACAAAGCATGCTTGTAAACAAGAGAGGGAAACAGCTGCAATGATTGGGAAAAAGAAGCAGGAGAATTAAGAACTTTTTATACAAATCCTTTATGTATATCCTGCCCCATTTAACTGTGTGTGTGTCCGTGTTTAAGTGCACACATGAGACTCAAATATTAAGACGTTTCCAGTTGATTTATAATTATTCTAAGATTTAGAGTGTGGTCTCCAACATGAGAGACCCTTGGTGGATTCAGTCCAGCTGTATTCAACTTCCACACAACCGCACATCCACCGTGTCTCTGCGTGTTTGTGGTGAGATAATCCAGCAGGCGGTTGAATACGTTTAAAGTCCCTGTCCGGCTCACCCAAGCTGAAACAGCAGCTGGATGATCCACTTTGTTTACCTCACCAAAGCCCAGCAGTCATTGAACCTCCTCTGCAAAGCAAGTCTCAGTTCAAAGGCAGAAACCTTTAGATACCTTTTCAAACATAAAGGAACACTAAGATCAACCTTTTATGAAAACACTTAAAAGTGATGTATGTAGTAAAGGCTAGTGTTGACCTCCTCCTTAATGACAACACTTGACGTTAAGCTAACAGTTATTGCAGGGTCCCTTGAGTCTCACAGTCCTGGCCAGATACATACAAATGTCTTAAAAAGCCTGTCGCACAGCATTATGGGGGAAATAAGACATTCATTTCACAAAAAGAGAAAACTTGGTCAATGCAATGGCCACACTTAGTGGCAATAAATCAACATGTTCCTACTAAGGAATAGCATTCAGAACATATTGTGTTATCTAGTAGTTTAAGGAAAATATAAACAATTATTAAATGGGAGAAGAAAACCGAAAGAGCAACCGCATAAATCTAACGGTCTTTAGAAGCGCTAAAGATGTTTAGAAAAGATTGAAGAATGTTGTAGGCTACAAGAAGTTAAAAGTAATGAATGAACTGTTAAAAAAGTTAGCTACATTTAAGGGATAAAACAACTGAAATAAGTTGCTTAAAGTGATGAACTAAACAGTTGAAATAGTTAGCTAATGGTTATGACAATTGTTTTCAACAAAGCTCTTATCTTAGGCTAAGCCAGGTGGAGACGTGGCTAACTTTACCCCCTTAAATAAACTAAGTCTTAATATTTATGCAACAGACAGGCTTAATCAGACGGGTCTGACCTGACAGTCTAAGGCCAAGACTACTCTTTGTTTATGCAACAGGTCCCTGGTGCCTCTTCAGACTGGAAGCCATCATTAACTATTGCCATCTCTGGCCTTGGATGACTTCCTTGAGTTGGGTTTTTCTCTTCATCTCTCTGAT